TTGCTGAATTCCAAGGGGGAAAAGGAATTTTTGTAATATATCATTTGAAACTTCAATATTGCAGAAAGCAAATTTGGTTCAAGGACACCACAGAATATACAGGCTGGCGAGTATCCTCACTGTAGCCTATGCAAACACTGGTGATGGCAAAGCCACTGCCACTGCCGTGTCCTTGCTGGTGCTGCGCGTCTGGATGTGCATCGCTGCAACTTCTGACATCCCCAAGCACACCTGCTTCTGCGGTAGCAAATGAGATCTGGATTTACAACAGTGACACACAGGCGCCTGCATGATAAACTGTAAGAGCACGGCAGGCTGTCAGCTTACAAGCCCTATTGGGGATTGTGAACATCACCTGATAGGTGGTGGTTTGATGGCTATGGGTACTCAGGGTGGCAGCAGCAGAAGACTCAGAGCTCTTGCTGGTAACAAAAGCGATTAGACTCCCTATGCCCACAGCTATATAGTATACAGCAGATATATATAAAAAACCCTCTGGCAGAGAAATCAAAACTAAGGACAGACAGCTTTCAGCACAAGATCCTGGGTTTTATCATTCACAACAAATCATTGTTTTCCTATGAAACAGTTGTGATCAGATTCTGTGGATAACAAACTGCACTAGTTAAGGAGGGACTGATTTGCTCTCTGTCACAAAGAACAGTTAACATGCACCACTTCATTTTTACCTTCTGCCTCAACAGTGGGTATGCAAGCCCTACACATGAATCCCCCTGCTCTGAAGAAGATACCACATAGTTTCATCAGAATCTCTTTGCTATATCATCAATTTTAATTCCAACCTGTACTTCAATATCCACATAACTATTTTCAAATACAATGAAAATTTGAAGTCAACAGCATCAGTCACCAGCATTGCAGCTTTCAGTAAATTCTTCACAACTTCAGAAAAATCTCTATGAACATTGTGGAAAGTAGATACAGAATGTACAGAGGATAGTTTTCTATACAAAAGTGCATTTTAGCAATACAATTAGCAGAGAACCTGGGGAAAAAAAAAAAAGAACAACTCAATTTAAGCAGTACCATATACTCTAATCCCATCTCTCCCTCAAAAAGAGGAGAAAAAATAAATCACAAAACCCCACTTTCCCCTTGCTTTGGTTATGAACTATATTCAAGGCTTCAACATTACAATTTTTTTTTTAATTTAAGAATTTAACTATAATTTGGAAATGTTTTAAAGTTAGCCAGATGAGAGACAACACAAGTATGATTAACCAGTTAATAGTCAAAATAGACAAGTTTTGAATATTACTAGGATTTGCCCTTGGCAGATTAAGAAACTATCTTTGCAATCATTAATTGCATGTTGACTTTTCTATGCCCAAGAATTGCAAGATCAGTAAGATGAAGAACATTAAACCAATAAATCTACCAACATTTGCTATGAAAATCTGGCTTATAAGCATGAACTTCAAGAGCCCCCCAAACAGTCAGGCTCATTAATATTTATAAACCTATGTATCAACTGATTTCAAAGCTGAAGGAGTGGGCCATTCAGCACAGATGAACAGTAAATACTGCCATTTTCGTATGTCTCTATACTGTATATACACTCTGATGCAAATGCATATGACTAAGTTCAAGCAGGTTGGCTGGTTTGTTTTTTCCCCAGAGAATGATCTTCACAGGTATCAAACCACAATGTGAGAACTAAAAGTGAAGCCCAGGAGAGTCTTGCAAAGACTTTTTTCACTCTTCTTGGTAAGCACCCCATACCGAGCATACTATACCCATATTTTAATGTTTCCCAGATAAAGAAAAATAGGTATCTTAACAGAGATAAAGGATGACATTAGATACACACACAAAAATTAGACAGATTTGTCAGGCAGCTAGTTTTCTTCCTCATATTTAAAATCATATTAGAAAAGAATGTTCTCTATTGTTTACAGTCCTACTGCAGTCAGACTTTCAGTGCTCCTTCTAAGCCTTGTTAGAGAAAAAGTTACCACGGAAGCAAACCATTAACGCTACAGAGTGTAAATTGATGGCATTCATATTACAGTAGGTACAAAGCACCCAGATACACAGTTTCAGTACCATGGAGCCAAACTACTATGAGCTTTTTCCTGTTTGTCTCTATGTTGCTTTTAAGCCTGATATTTTTTATCTATGAATTAAAAGCAGAGATTCCTTTCTTTCTTGAAAAACCACTAATAAGAATCCATGATTTTAGCAGTCTGTTACCCTTCTTTACCTATCTGAACCCAATAATCTGTAGATAACTTCCTGTAAAACAAAGCAGTAGCCACAATGGCCAACACTCAAATCAGCAAGACCAGGTTTAACTAAAATTCCAACTGTTTGACTAATGCCACAGGTATCCAATACAAATTCATAGAATCATTTAGGTTGGAAAAGACCATCAAGTCCAACCGTAAACCTAACCCTGCCAAGGTTAACTCATACTAAACCATGTCCCTAAACACTGCGTTTACACATCTTTTAAATAACTCCAGGGATGGTGACTCCACCACTTCCCTGGGTAAGCACACAGCGTATTGCAGGGAAAGACAAGAATCTGACAAAAACACCTCCCTCCTCCACAAAATGAAGGTGGTGTTAGTTCCAAGAAGGATGTGAAAAAAAAAGGGGGAAAAAAAACCCCAAACATGCAGAAGTACATGAGAACTCTGGAATCCCACAGCTTCTCCAGGCCTCATTCTCCGAGACACCAAGTACTTGGCAAAGACAACGTTCAGGTGAGACAGATGTTATTTTGCATTCTTAGCAGAACATTCAGTTTTGTATTCTTAGGTTATAAGCATCCTGGGACTATGAGATTACAGAGCTATAAATTATTACCAAGGAACCCTTGGAAATACACTCTCTTCTACTGTTTTATCTGTCACACAAGTGAACTGAAGTATCCAGCTGGAGATGACCTACCACAATCAGCTACTGTGGCACCCAGGGCCTTTCGAGCCAATGTAACAGATGAGCAACTGGACACTTCTAATTACTTAGTGTGAACATGTAAGTATAAATTCATCTAAGATCAAAATGGAAATACTATTCTCCCTCATTTCATGATCTCTGGAAGCCAGTAGACAGGTGCCCAAAAAAAAACTGCACCTCACCACATGAGGGGCTCTTCTCTCAAAGCCTGAGGGATTTTATACTCTGAAGAGCTACTGAAACAGAATAAAGTGGCACACTTTCATGCTCCACCATGCTGAGATATTCCACCTTTCTTACAGTTCATTTCAGAGTCTCAATTCTCTACAGTACTAAGTGTGCATTTTTCTTCCAGAAAAAAAAAACAAAAAACCGCATTTCAAAGTCACTGCAGAAAATACAGGTTGTGGTGAATTGTGACACTGTACACACAGTGAAATGTTTCATGATTAATTCATCCATTACAGTCATGGTAAGTTGTAAGAGTTCAACAACTGCACCCTGAAATTAGCTGAACTGACAGCAATTCAATTTTCCTTCCATCCAAGATATTTAAAAGCTCCAGATTTAAGTCAATCTAAAGTCTCAGTACCTTGCATACTGTTAAGAAGTTTTTGGTACTGTTTCTACAGGAGGAAGGGAGACATCAACCAGTTATAGTAGAGTGTGAGCACATACTGACAGGTAACAGTCACTTCTGGTTAGTAGCCAGATAACTCGCCACATGGGATAGTTAACGCTCCAGTTTAAAATGGTGTTACATAGCTTTTAACAAGCCCATGGCCAGGTCTGGGTATCTGTTGTCTAGCAGCAGTAAGTGTGACTAAGTTAACACAAAATAGTTTGACTACAGACCTCATTTATTTCTTACTGAAGCCCCTTCAGTGGTCATTGAACAGATATTTTATTGGTCAGTTTATTTTGAGGCTACAAGGAATGCAACTTCTGAAAGAAAAATACTTCAGCTGTCAGGGCTACTATCTGTGCAGGACGTGCAAAATGAATGTGAGCAGTCCTATATAAAGTATAAATTACTTCCTAAACTCAGAACTAGAAAATAATTTTAGAATCTTTTAAGCTTCACATTGAAATTTAGAAGTATCATTTTTATCTGAGCTGTGGGGGGAAGGAGTTCTGTAACAAGTAGTTCCAAGATAAAGACAAAAGTCACCTCACAGATTGCCGTCAGATTTAGGAAACAGGTTAAAACTATTTCTACCTCATTTTCTTGGCAAGAGAAATTTCAAAAGCACATAAACAAAAGGAGAATTCTGAAACATGTAATGATGTAACAACCCACACAGAGGACACATCAGCTAAACATACAATTAAAAAGCACAGCTGCATTAAGTTCTCTTGCCAACAACATGAACCTATTTAGATATGCTTCTGAGGAAAAAAGCCACCCAGTGTGCCACTTGTTTGCACTTCTGTTTCCAGTAGCATTTTTAGCTACTGTAAGTAGTGTCCTAGACAACTTAATTGCAGATTAGTGTACTTTCAATGCACAAAGATCTTTTTATTTGAATCTTTTCATAGCAATAGTAGGGATATACTGGTCAATCATTAGTAACAATCATACTATAAGATATTGAGCAGTAAAATAACTTTCTGAAGACTAAGCTTGCAAATCGGTTTTTTTTTTTTTGAATCCTAATTGCTTCTTAAAGAACTACATTATTATGCATTATTTGTGTTACAAATTACCGGCATTTGAAGTCCTGCTTCTTGTTTTCTGTGCAGTCTGAGTTAAATCACAACTTCTAGAAAAGGATTTATCAGAGTCCTTTAATTTTGTATGATCCAAGAGCAAGATTGAAGAAAGCCCTACGGCACTAAAGACTTTTTTACTCATGCTAAACAATCTTCCTAATAATGGGAAAAGAAGACAGAACAAGCCAAGTGTAATATTAACTCTAAGATGGGAAAAAAACAAAAGAGCTGAAGCATAGTGATGCATGCTTGATGTCATCCAAAAGCACCCCTAGACTTATGTCTTGCCAGTTAGCATGTCAGCCAAGTTCAAATTTCCTTAAAAAGGTACCTATTCATTCAGCAGCTTTTCAGATGTCAGTTAAGTTTCTGAAGTCTTTGTTGCAAAATTAGCCTCAAAAAGCTGGAGTTACTCAATACTTAGATCTTCTTACCAAAATTACACTTGAGAAAAGATCTGGTTTATACTGTTAACATTAATCAAAATTTGGTCAAGAAATATATGTAAACAATAAGGATAATACATTTAAGGCTTAGAAAGAACACTGATAAATTCATCCCTGTCACATTAAAACGTCCACATCTCCTTCATGGTCCTCCTCAGTCACTTTTAAAGAGAGCACTTCTTCATTAAGAAATAACCCACTCAGTCTTTCCTTACGAGCTTGTCTTTGTTCTTTCAGCTGTCTCTTGCGTAAGGCCTTTTGCTGTAGTTTCCGTTGCTTGGAACGTTTCTGTCAAAATACAGAAAAGACAAAAAAAGAGATTTTGTTCTGTAGATTAGAAACCACTTTTAAAGCTGGCAAATGTAAGTTAACTTCTAAAATAACTTCTGCTCTGAAAAATAACTAAAATGAATGCTCAGAGGTGGTGCAAACATTCTTTTAAAATTGTATCCAATATTAAAATATCAAGACCATTTACCACGTCTGAGTTACGAGGCACAACATTACCCTGTGGTTTTGCATAGGTGAGTCTTCGATCAGAAGAACCTTGAGGAAATGTTACAGTCTTACAATAACAAACTGAGATGCTGAAGAGCAAGCAGGAACTGCTCCTCTCCTCCATCCTTGAAATTGAAATTATGGAGACAGAACAACTGCCACAGCACTACTTTCATTGCAACATGCTTCAGTAGGTCGCTCCGTTGAAAGAACAAACTGAAGAAGACTCAAAAAGCCTGACAAAATTTCTAGTTGGGGAAAAAAAAAACCACAACCAAGACAGTCTTTACTCTCCAGAAGTTATGCCTGGATTAGGTTGATCAATCTTGAATAAAAATTTGTGGTAAAACTGTGTGTTTATTCAAAGAATTAAGTTAGATGCATAACCTCTTATTCAAAACTTATTCTAAACAAAAGTAATGAGAAGATCTGCTACATACAAACAAACAGTCATGTCAGAGGGAACAGTCAGCACTGTTTTAGCCAGATAACTTCAGCAGATCCTCAGTTACTAACCATGCTCCTGCAGCACAAATATCCCAGTTAACATCACATAAGCAACCTTCACAAGTTAGAGAGCTTAATACACATGTACACGAATAGAAACTTTACTTTTGAATCCCGGATTCTTTCTGCAGCACTTGTGGACAAATTGCTATCGCTGTGCGCTCGATTCATGTTGGCACTGGAGTTTGATGCAGAGTTAGCAACACTGGAACCACTGCTGCTTGCTGAGCTGACCATGCTGGCACTGCTGCTGCTGGCGCTGGCACCGCTCACACCACTGGTACTTGCACAGCTGTAGCTACTCCTCTTCCAGCTTTCCCTCGCAGACCGTTGACGAGGTCCATGTTCCTTTATATAGTTTCTCACCTTTAGAACAGAGGCAGCAGAATTACTAAATCCTGATAAATACTGTACTCAGATACTCCCTTTCATGGAAAAACAAACAAAAAAATCCCAGTGTGCCTGTTAATAATGATCAAGTTATTGGATCGGTTCAGTTAGTCTTTTAAAATGTTTTGCCGTGGTTGCTTAAATCCCAAGCCATCTGGCAATCAAGAGAACTTAACTAAGAACTAAGTTAATATGAACTTCATTATGGAAGGAAGAAAACTAAGTAACAAGGCTTGGATTTTTTTTCTCCTCTACAGCCCCCCCAGTTTTCTACTATATAATAAGTTATTATTATAACACCAAACAGGAATAGCAATCAAGTTCAACTGAACCAAGTTGTTCACCTAATGTAACAAAACCCTTTATTTTGCTATGTATTCTCAAACAAAAGTGGCTGTAAGGAAAGCAATACTTTTCTACTTGAAGGGGATACTTAGAAAATGTTTGAAATATTAAATAGGCTAAGTTCAGTGAATGTTTTCCATTTTCAACCTTTACCTTCATCATAATCACAAATACAGAGTAACACTGAGGAGTTCAGCTTGTTTGGATATTGCACGTTTTCCAACAACACATCACAACAGAACAAAGACTAAGAAGACAATATCATATATTTACCATACCAATCAGGTATGCTTCTGTGTTATAATTTGTAGTTTGTAACATCTTTAAAACACATTGTTCTATATCCCTTTTTACATGAAATTTATGGTCTTCCCAACAAATTCCAGTCCTTGGAGTCTTAAATGCCAGTTTATACTCAGCAAGCAAATGAAAATCATCAACCAGCTGATGGTCATGAAGTGGAATATACTTTGTCCAGGCCCACAGCATCACTCACTACACACACACCAGCTTAGGTTTAACACATTGAAAATATATAACCACAGTCTTTCAAATAAAGGTTTAATACATACAATATGCTTTTGAACTTGATTTTCCCTCATTGACAATACTGTGCTCTACTGTATCTCCCTATATCTAATGATTATGTGTAAAAATTGATCACAATTCCGTAAGAGATTTGCAAGACATACCAGATGCTGAAACCCCAAAGTCAAATATACAAAGCTTAACTCACCTGTTTCAGTTTTTCATCCGTGAGACAGTTCAATTCAATAATGAATTCACTATCTGTAGGTGAAATCTGAGCAGTAGGATCAATAATTTTAATAATATCAAGCTGCTCTCGAAGGCCCATCTCTGTACTGACTTTGCGACTCAAATATTCAATATATTCAACCTGGAACCCAAAGAAAGGCAGATCATTTTAAAGTATTACTGATTTTAAATGAGTGACAGACGAAGGACCAACAGAATACAATGTGCTCAAACATCACATTTCCTACGATTCTAGCCTCACTGAGTATCCTCAAAAACTCAGGGTGAAAACTTGAGTACACATTAAACTGCCTACTACAGATACAAACAACAAGATTTAGTTTCAAGAATCAAGCTGTACTGCATGAGTCTACATTTACACCTACAGCAATCAGTGTGTCTTTTAAGATGTGGCACTAAAATTCTTCTGTGTATTACAGTTCTCACATAGGAAAAGAAGTCAATTTCACCTGTTCATCATTTGTCATTGCACTCCATGGAAGTTCATCAAGATTCCTGTGCTTGTTTTTCTTTTTCAGAAGCAGACAGGGAGAGCTGGGAATACTGGGTATAACATCAGAAAGTACATCACTCCCACTTGTAATGTCGCTGCCAGGCAACTTGCAATATGCAAGAGAAAGAACAAAGCCTTAGAATACAGTAGGCTGTATGACAGATTTAAAGTCATCCTAACACTATTAACAACTCAAAACATAACATCAAATCAGTAAAGCATCACTTATCTATGTACTCTAACAACTTCTTAATAATTACTCATAACCCTGCAGTACTCCTTTGAAGCTTCCAACAGCCAGGTTGTTTCACAAATTTCACTCAACTCGCACTATCCTCTACTTGGCAATTCTCTTTTTAAAAAGTTGCATTCAAGAAAACAGCAGAATGATGTGGCATTTCAACTATTTCCCTTCTCCGTCAGTGTCAACTGTCCATTACAATCTAAATCTCAACCTCCCATTTTAAAGCATAAGTCTAGTTTAAGGAAGATCATTTCAAAATAGGTTTGTAATTTACATCACACCCCATAATTACACAAGACAATTAAATTAATATCACTGTAATTTTCCTGGAAGAAACTGCAGAACTTCAGCTAGTTTCATTTATACACCTGACATGTAATTTCTGAATGTGCTTCCAGTTAAAGCATGACAGTTGGATTACTTATACTCAGATTCTGCCAGATAACACCATAAAGAGCTACAAAAAAAGTCTTTCAAAATTCTATAACTCCAATCAAGTGTCTTAAAAAATGCTAGTTTTAAAAAACAAAGAATAATTTTTAAAAAGCTAGTTAGTAATCAAACATGCTGCCAGCTAACTAAGACATGGGAAATTGCTTCTTTTCAAAACAATCACTGAGTTTATCAGGTAATTAAAATTTCAAAACTCATTGAAGCTCTGAATCTTTGGGATCCAATCTGCGTTGTTCCTACAGGCTGCATTACACACATGCACTTGTAACTTCTCTGATACAACATACATAGAGACCAGGAGTTAGACTAAAACAGTAAGAAACTCAGAGCTAATCTCAGACCACGTTTCTTAGATTAATCTGTATCTTCTGGAACAGGATTTCTGCTTTCTTGCAATCACTGTTTTCAGTCCTTATACTGCACTTAAATGACTCCCTACATGCTTTTGACTTAGCTTTATGACAAAATTTAAAAGTATTCCTCCGTATATTCTGAAGCACAATGCTTCCTATTTCAAAGTTATGTATACATTCACAGTTGATTTAAGTCTATAATATAAAAAAGTCAATTTAAATCTGTAATATATAAAACAGATTTGCATATCACAATTGAAAAACCGCTGGACAAAGAAGACTACCTCAGACTAGAGACACCTGACCAGGACTGCAGCCAATACAGACCAGCAGAAAGCAGGACGTGACTCACCTTCACACTTTTCCCATCCTGGTGAGACAAGTGAGCTCTGTACTTTTACTGGCACAGAAAAAGATGAAAATAGGCTATGGCAAGAGCCTCTACACTTTACCTAGATGCCAGCTCCATTCCAAAGGAAGATTTAATACGAAATACAAATCACTGGCAGCAGACATCTATAACCAGATTTCATTAGCAGGGTAACTCCTTAGTACAAAGGATCTAATCTCACTGCTCTGAGACACATGTTGGTCACTAAAACCCAACTACCACAGTATGTAAGTGGCCCTCTTTGAAGAGCTGACCTTCAGTCTCTCCTCCAGATTAAGAACGCTGGAATAAAATGGAACAAAACATTTTCTTTATCACTGAAGATTCATATATCTGCTCTTACATTCAGTAGTTATCAAGGAAAAAAATGGTGAGGACTTTTTAATTAAAGCTAAACCCAGCACTTAACAGTCTATACAAAGTTTTGCATTGACAGTGGAACTAGTTTACCTGCCATTCAAACTCACTGTCTGACCAATCCCAGTAAGTGCTGATAGAAGAAGAGACATCACTGCAGACACTACCCTCGGGGAACAAATCAAAAGAGGTGAACTCCTGGTCATCCAACAGAGAGTAACAGTCATCTTGATCACCAACTGAAACCGATGAGAACAGCTCCTCGCTGCACTCTGAGCTGGCTACGCTGGTTCCACAAGACGTCAAGTTCCACCTGCAAAACAGGACAAAACAAACGGAATGCTCAGTTCTTTTAAGCCTCATAAAACTATCCTCACTTTGCTTGTCAGTAATATTATACATTGATTTTATTGAAATAAGTTATAATTATGTAAATTGAAGTATTCCATTTTAAAATATTTTTAAAGGTCAATAAACAACACCAAAGGGATTTCAGTGCTAAAAACGGCAAGGCAAAAATCTATATAGAATTAGTATAATTACACCTTTATTTTAATATATTAACAGTTTCTGCCCCAGAGCCATGATTCCTGTAGTGTGTAAATTCTCCTTTTTTGTTGCTCTTGGTTGTTTTGTTGGGGTTTTTTTTTTTATAAATACACTGAAATAAAAATATAATTTCCCATATGTTGGGATATTTAAGCTTCCATGTAAATTGAAATAAGCAAAACTAAGAAGTAAATAAATTGGACTTCAGGATAAATTGGGGTCAAAAAGAAATTCTAGTTGGATAATCCCCACAAAACTGATGCTTAATAAGGAAACACATTATGAATATACTCAAGGCTCCATTATTCACTGTTTTCAACTACAAATGTCAAAAATATTGGACATGCTGTTGGAATGAGACAGTGTAAAATGGAAAAATTACCCATGTGAAAATGCCAAAACTAAACACCTTTTTCCCCCCTCACAATTTCATTTTAAAAGCTAGTTAATGCTGTTGCTAAAGGAAAGCAATGGAGGACTCAGACTTCACAGAACAGGTTTTTTACTCTAATGAGAGTAAGCCAGAATTTAACAAGCTCATGAAATCAGTCTCCATATCTGGATTTATTTTACATATTGGTGAAAAGTAGGTCGAGACAACTATGAGTCAGCACAGCACTGCAATATGGCCAAAACAATTCGAAAAGGGCTTCTAAAATTCACCACACAAACCCCTGCGATCAGCTCCTGTTCCATCAGCCTACCCACCTCAGCATGGCTAACCAGAAACACATTCCTCTGCCCATCTGCAAGAGCTGAGCAATGCCATCGTCCAGAAAGGCCAGCCCTCGCCGTCGTTCCTCCAGCTGCACACCCGGCTGGCTAAATATGTTTGTGATGGACTCACTCCCACATCTATTTGGCCAGCAGTGAATTTATCCAACGTTAAAGACATTTCAAAAACTTGTCTTTTAGTAGATCCAGGAAATCTTGTCCTCTCTCCCTTTCTGCATCCCTTACACAGGTGCAGTGTTTTACTGGTACAGACTTTTGTGGGCAGGGCAATCAGTCGGTAGAGATCAGGATATGAGCGTGGTGACACCACATGCTTTTGAACATTACTACAGTTTCAATATTAATGAAATATTGATGAAAGATAGAGTGGACAAAGTTTCCAGACCCACCAAAAGACAGGATGAGCTCTACCACCACTCAACTACGCATAGAGACTCCAGGAACACAGTCACAGGGGGGCCTGCTGTACTTGCTGGGGTGAACTGGATTAACAAAGAAGTGGGAACGACATTAAAATTACTTGTAACTTTAAAAAAATAGAAAGCCTTACACAAACACCACAGACTGAGCCACGCATCTGCAATGGCTTGATTAGTGCAAGACAAGGCATGTCCTTCCCCAGAGAAGTGAAATACCCACTCAAGATGCCTGGGTTACAAACCTGGGTTTGTGGAACAAGCGAGCCTGAGTAAGACACTGGGGAAGTGAGAGGCAATCCAAATGAATTAATGCTCGTCATGCTGAACCATTTAAGAATCTATAACTAAGAGCTTGCCATTGTGAATGACACTTTTAAAGTGTAATTTCCATTATTTCATACAAATTCAATTGAAAGATCACCTTATTATTCACTCTTCATTATGGTGCAGTAGAAACACTAATAACCAGTAAAAATATCTTGCAGCTCCGGAACAGGAACTAGAACATGCCACATGGATGTTCAGGACTGAAATCTCACAAACTGTTCTCAAAAAAAGAAGCTATTTCAACAGTCAAGTTGAATGCTATGCACAGGAGTAGCAGAATTAGGTTCTTTGGTAAGCAAGACTGTGGCTTTGCTTTTATAAGCACAACTGGAATGTCTTTGTAGAGCTGCATTTGCATTTTTAGAATAGCCCTTTTCTACAAATTACAGACAGGATAGTTTGCCCTTAATTAGTAGCATGCGATGGAAACGCTTCTGCAGGAATCGGTGCAGTCACCAAGCCACCTGACTCACAGGTTTGCTCGGTGTCCACGCAGAGCCTGCTTTTAATTACAGACAGGGGCCGGCTGCCCGCCCCGCAGCGCTCACAACCACCTTTCCACAAATCTGGAAAGTAATAAACGCGTCCTAAAAACACGACCTGGCTCACGCTGATTAACAACCGTAACGTCGGTAGCCAAAGCCAGAGCGAGCTCGGGCACAGCCCGGCCACGGGGAAGCGTCACCCCGGCCGGGTGTGCGAGCGGGCTGCGGGCAGCAACGGCACAGCCGGAGCACAGCCACCGCCGGGCCGGGGCCG